GGTGTCAAGAAGGGCAGCAAAGAAGCCACTTCTCTCCAGGAAAAACATCAGGGACAGACTGATATTCTGCAAAAGGTACAGGGATTGGACTGCTGAGGACTGGGGTAAAGTCATTTTCTCTGATGAATCCCATTTCCGATTGTTTGGGGCATCCGGAAAAAACCTTGTCCGGAGAAGACAAGGTGAGCGCTACCATCAGTCCTGTGTCATGCCAACAGTAAAGCATCCTGAGGCCATTCATCTGTGGGGTTGCTTCTCAGCCAAGGGAGTGGGCTCACTCACAATTTTGCCTAAGAACACAGTCATGAATAAAGAATGGTACCAACACATCCTCTGAGAGCAACTTCTCCCAACCATCCAAGAACAGTTTGGTGACGACCAATGCCTTTTCCAGCATGATGGAGCACCTTGCCATAAGGCAAAAGTGATAACTAAGTAGGCTCGGGGACAAAACATCGAAATTTTGGGTCCATGGCCAGGAAACTCCCCAGACCTTAATCCCATTGAGAACTTGTGGTCGATCCTCAAGAGGCGGGTGGACAAACAGAAACCCACAAATTCTAACAAACTCCAAGCATTGATTATGCAAGAATGGGCTGCCATCAGTAAGGATGTGGCCCAGAAGTTAATTGACAGCATGCCAGGGCGGATTGCAGAGGTCTTGAAAAAGAAGGGTCAACACTGCAAATATTGACTCTTTGCATAAACTTAATGTAATTGTCAATAAAAGCCTTTGACACTTATGGAATGCTTGTAATTATACTTCAGTATACCATAGTAACATCTGACAAAAATATCTCATAACACTGAAGCAGCGAACTTTGTGAAGATCAATACTTGAGTCATTCTCAAAACTTTTGACCACGACTGTACAACTAAAATGTTCCATTACACTATAAATATCAATCTAGAACAGGATTATCTATTTTGGATGCAATTTGAATGGAGTTGATGGAGAGAGAAAGACTGCGAGAGTGCGCCCGTGCACTGATTTAAAGCAACAACATTCAAGGCTGTTTTAAAATTATGCAGCTGCAATAAATAAAATAATCTTTACAATTAAAATAATAATTTAACCCCCAAAAGGTGGTGGGTAAATTTGACGTGCATTCAGTCTTTATATTAGACTATGCTGCAGCAAATGCAGGCCTACCTCTCCCAAGAAAAAAAGTTACCATGATGAGATGATTGGTCAACATGCATTGTGAACTGCGCTCCATACTGAGATGGGCTGTCTGTCCCCACCCTGAGCGTTGAATCATCATGTAGAGGCTGCAGAGAAGACAGATGTAGACATCGCATATCATTTAAGTTCCATTTCACGCCATGCTGTGCATAGCAATAATTTATTAGAATTTACCGGTTTCTGCAGTTATTTATCTTGGGAATAGGGCATTGTTTTGGGCGGTAAATCTCGGTAACCGGTTCCCTCCATTCAACCCTAGTTATGATAACGTTGTTGCACTGATGCATTGCAAATAGTTGCACAGAGCACAGTGAAAAAGGAGACCCAAGGGAATTAACAACCATTAGAAAAATTATAATCACTTGCAAACCACTTAAGGAGGCAATGACATGCTGTAGGTCTAAAAGATGCGCAGGCTAAAAGGCGTTTGTTATCAAATTTCTACATTTAAATACGAGTTACTATATTATTTTTCATTAGGCCTACATGTACTTTGAAGTATTATTTGCAGTTGTCACTATGACAATGAACACACCCTGAAAGCACTGAATGGTCTGAACCAGTATCTGTGCGTTAGACCTCATGAATGGTCTTGTTACCACCCTATTAATAGCAGCCTGCAATAGGATGTGTTGATCAGTTGATTGACAGGTGTAGGACAATAAACTATCTATAACTTTCCTCTAGTGTGGATGCTCACCAAAATTTTATAGTTATGTAGCCTATAGTTTATCATTATGGTTTTCATTATAGTTATTGGCTTGGTGGATGGCCCGGGCCTTAACTCTGACACAACACATTATCACAACAGAACTAGCCTACTAGTAAGTCCGGCTTACGTTAGCGAACTTGAATGAAATAAATGTACAATTACATGTATACACTTGTTTACTTGACTTTTATTCTCAATAAATTGCCCCTTCAAATAATTTACTCTGGCAAGTTTGCCACTGTTGCGCTGCAGTAGGGAAGTAAAGCGGAAGTCGAATCCATCACTTCTGTTGTTTGGCTGTGCCCATAGCAACGTTCGAAAATGAGCTGGATAGAATGTAATGGATCGCATTCCGACCTCAGTGCAGCTCAGCGTAAACAAGCATAACGGAAGGGTCGGTATCTTCTGGCAAAGCACAGACGTTCTTCAAGTTTAAGTTGGATATTAGTAGTGCTGTAGTAAAGGTTCTATTTTACAGCCAGTTAAGATGGCATTTAAACATACAAATATAGCATGTTAATTTCAAGCAAAACACATGTAAGTGAATGGGTTTTCCAACGTTCAAAAGCTTTACCCTTCTTGTTCGTTGCTAAACAAAACCATGAGCCTCATGTCATTGACGACACAAACCTGTCTTCCTCTATACAAGTGTAAATCCTTAGCCCAGGGCTAAAGCTTAGCCCCAGGGTTAACAAATGCTTGTGTAAACACAGGCTAAGCTAGCCCAGGGCTAGTCCAGCCTGGGGGTAAAATAGCCCGGGGCTAAGAACATTGCAGTGTGAAAAGGCCTTTCTTGGACTTGCTGGTGATGTGCTGGAACAATAATGCCAGCACTGATTTGAGAGCCTAGCATCCAAATACAGATGTTTTTGTACAGTTTCTTTACAGCAAAACATTCAACGAACAAACTTTCCTTTTAATCATTTATTAAAAACTATATACAATATCTGTTATAATTCAGTATTTCGGTACACCATTTTTTTTTCTCTTCGTTTTTATTTTATACCACTTCTCTGCATTAACCAGGTACTTCTTGTTATGTGCAATTTTGCACTTGCTTTGTTTGCATATGGTCAATTTTTTGTGAAAATGAAAAAAGAAGCAGTACCCCAACAACAGCTATGCACAAATAACACCACATATATCATCCATTGATTGAAATTTACTAAATTACTGTGTGCTAGTGTATTCTCAGGAAAAACCTCAATTCCACAACGCAGTCAGTGAGACACATACCTGTGAAGTCAAGCCTAAAGAACGGATCACACTTTCAAGGCAAATTGCGTTAACATAAAGCTGGGGTATACTCAGTGAGGTGAAATACTCAGAATAACATTGTAGATAGAAATAAATACAGTTGACTTGATTACCTGTTCTACATGACAATTACATCCGATCTACACTAGACATTTCTACCTGATTCTGAAAGTTCTTCAACGTTGCACCATCTTGATCAGGCCCCCGGCCGGGACTCAAGTACCCAATCAAAACACAACAACACACAGTCAACCAATAAGCCCAAATCAGGCTAATTGTAGTTTGACAACCAAAGACATCAACACGTGTGTATGCATCCTCAAGACGAATGACATCATTACAGGTCAGGATACCCTGTTCTCGGCTTAAACTTGTTTTGGAAATGTGTCATGGCAACACACTGGCGTTGTTCACTCTTAAAAAAACAAACAAGATTTTGGGTTTTCAAATAGCTCCAGACAGTCAACTGTTTGAATTTGTATGACAATAAATACATGACAATCTCAATGATGACGAACCCCACCCCCCCGCCTTTAAATAAAATGCAGACAATCATGCTCTCTAAAGTATATATTTAAAAGCTAATGTTCAAATCCACATTCCAGAAGTCTCAATTATATTGGATGGATAAAGTTTCATATAGTGCCATTATCGGAGTAAGCCAACGGAGGCAACATTGTCACACAGACAGCCTTAACATGGAAAATGTCAAACCATACAGTGTTAATACCAACACATATGAACAATGGTTGCCCACTACTTTGTAAACCTTTGAAAATACCGGTACCTGACAAGCAACATGTAATGAGATATTGTAGATCAAACTAGACTATCAGAGCTATATAGAGATATACAGTTCTAGTTCAGATGACCTCGCAAATTGTCATGAGAAGCACCAAAGCGAAGGACATTTTGACACCTCTGCCTCAACACCAGTGAAATTGACAGTTTCAACACCCTACTAACCCCGTTGTCAGATAATCAGTTCAACCAGTAGACAATGAAGCTGTGCAGACATGGATGGCAAAAAACAACTGTTTCCTCCACACTCATTCTGAGAATGTTCATATTCTCCCTATTGCACCAATCCAATCTGTCCAGATCTACATAAGATCTACATAAGCATCAAAGGAGTAGAGGGAAAGAGTCAGGTTGGAACTGGGCACAAGGTCTCATCTGGTAGGCTAAAGTAGATCAATCTGGTCTCAGAATTGAACTTGACTGATGTGGTCAGGAAGCTCAAGCGCTGAAAAAAAGTGCAGATACCTGTTCAAAAGAGGTGAAACTTTCAGACTGACGCAGATAAAAATCTATGACTTAGAATCAGACACAACATATCAGGTTATGTCCATTCTATACATTGGACTTCTACACTGCAACGTTCTGAACATTCCACCCTATGGAACAGGCACCCTGCTGGAACAGGTTGTTCTGGATGGGGCATTCTCAGCCGTTGAGTATCAATCTGTTCTAAAGTGGATTGTGTTGGTCTAAATGCTGAAGCGGACTGATATCGTCAAAGAGGACTGAGCTGGTCTTGGAGCTGAAAGAACGTTGGGCTGGTCTGAGCTAGTCTGAAGCGGAGCAGACTGGACTGGTCACAAGCAGTTCAAAACGGCACAGGTTCGGTTTAGACCTGGGAGGCATTTGTCTGTGGGCGGAGGAGGGTAAATAATCTCTGTGAATTAGCTTCTGTGTCTTCCCTACTGGAGCAGGCTAGTTTAGTAGGCCCATTTCCACCCATTCAACTAGATGGTTGGAGCATGAATAACCCCATAGCTAAGCACAGTAAGAAAATCATTAGGCCTTGGGGTTAAATGTTGAGTTAAGCTAAAATTCTCTAGTCTAGAGCATGGTCCGAGCCACGTATCGCAGCAGCCCGCCATGCCGGTAAAAGGCCACGTCCATCTCGCTGTCAAACAGAGTCGTCACACTGAAGGTCTTTCCAGAGCTAGTCTAGAGAGAGAGAGACAAGGTGAAAAATGTAGTTCAATGAAGGGGCAATGCCATGGACAAAGATAGTTGTGAGACATTTTAACTAGTGATGGGACATTTTAGTTATAAAAAGGTAACTTTTGATTGGATGCCATACTTTGACAGTCAGCAGTTGCTTTGGGGACAGGTCCTCTGGTAGAGTGATGGTGAACCTCTCCTTCCCGGAGAGCTCTAGCGAATCGGCACTCTGGCCTGGCAGGAACTGGAGGGGCGCGATGCCCATGCCCACCAAGTGGTTCTTGTGCATCTTCTCAAAGCTCTCAGCTATGACAGCTCGCACACCCTGCCAACCATACAACACACAGAATAAGTGACCAATAGGATCTGTATTTCATGGGGAAAAAAGTCACATATGCAATTGAATGAAATTTCCCAATGAATATTTGATTCATTTAGAATTTCATTGCGTATAATTTCGCTCCAGCTCATGTAAATTCAAACAACAATGTAGGAGTATAGATTTTATGCAGAGCCAGGATGACTTAAGATCTGGTTCATCTGGTTTTCCCCATTACCATTGCCCTAGACATACTATTTTGGGGCTTGAGGTCTAGATCAAGTGTTCTGTGAAACAGACCACATTTGGCACTTGTGTTAAAAAAATATACACTACCAGTCAAAGGTTTGGACACACCTACTCACTCACTTTATTTTTACTATTTTTTACATTGTAGAATAATAGTGAAGACATCAAAACCATGAAATAACACATATGGAATCATGTAGTAAACAAAAAAAGTGTTAAACAAATCAAAATATACTTTATATTTGAGATTCTTCAAATTGCCACCCTGTGCCTTGATGACAGCTTTGCACACGCTTGGAATTCTCAAAACCAGCTTCATGAGATAGTCACCTGGAATACATTTCAATTAACAGGTGTGCCTTCTTAAAAGTTAATTAATGCGTTTGAACCCATCAGTTGTGTTGTGACAAGGTAGGGGGGGTATACCGATTATAGCCCTATTTGGCAAAAGACCAAGTCCATATTATGGCAAGAACAGCTCAAATAAGCAAAGAGAAACAACAGTCCATCAAGGGTTTTTCTTTATTTTTACTATTTTCTACATTGTAGAATAATAGTGAAGACATAACTATGAAATAACACATATGGAATCATGTAGTAACCAAAAAAGTTCAAATAGCCACCCTTTGTTCAAATAGCCACCCTTTGCCTTGATCTTGGTATTCTCTCAACCAGCTTCACCTGGAATGCTTTTCCAACAGTCTTAAAGGAGTTCCCACATACGCTGAGCACTTGTTGGCTGCTTTTCCTTCACTCTGCGGTCCGACTCATTCCAAACCATCTCAATTTGGTTGAGGTCGAGGGATTGTGGAGGCCAGTTCAACTGATGCAGTACTCCATCACTCTCCTTCTTGGTAGAATAGCCCTTACAAAGCCTGGAGGTGTGTTGGGTCATTGTCCTGTTGAAAAACAAATGATAGTCCCACTAAGCCCAAACCAGATGGGATGGCGTATCGCTGCAGATGCTGTGGTAGCCATGCTGGTTAAGAGTTCCTTTAATTCTAAATAAATCACAGACAGTGTCACCAACAAAGTACCCCCACACCATCACACCTCCTCCATGCTTTACGGTGGGAAATACACATGCGGAGATCATCCGTTCACCCACAACGCGTCTCACAAAGACACAGCGTTTGGAACCAAAAATCTCCAATTTGGACTCCAGACCAAAGGACACATTTCCACCGGTCTAATGTCCATTGCTCATGTTTCTTGGCCCAAGCAAGTCTCTTATTATTATTGGTGTCCTTTAGTAGTGGTTTCTTTGCAGCAATTTGACCATGAAGGCCTGATTCACACAGTCTCCTCTGAACAGTTGATGTTGAGATGTGTCTGTTACTTGAACTCTGTGAAGCATTTATTTGGGCTCCAATTTCTGAGGCTGTTAACTCTAATGAACTTATCCTCTGCAGCAGAGGTAACTCTGGGTCTTCCATTCCTGTGGCGGTCGTCATGAGAGCCAGTTTCATCGTAGCGTTTGATGGTTTTTGCGACTGCACTTGAAGAAACTTTCAAAGTTCTTGAAATGTTCCGTATTGACAGAACTTCATGTCTTAAAGTAATGATGGACTGTCGTTTTATTTGCTTATTTGAGCTGTTCTTGCCATAATATGGACTTGGTCTTTTACCAAATAGGGTTATCTTCTGTATACCACCCCTACCTTGTCACAACTGACTGGCTCAAACGCATTAAGGAGGAAAGAAATTCCACAAATTCACATTTAACCAGGCACACCTGTTAATTGAAATGCATTCCAGGTGACTACCTCATGAAGCTGGTTGAGAGAATGCCAAGTGTGTGCAAAGCTGTCATCAAGGCAAAGGGTGGCTATTTGAAGAATCTCAAATATAAAATAGATTTTGATTTGTTTAACACTTTGTTTGGTTACTACATGATTCCATATGTGTTATTTCATATTTTTGATGTAGTTACAATGTAGAAAATGGTAAAAATCAAGAAAAACCCTTGAATGAGTAGGTGTTCTAAAACTTTTGACCGGTAGTGTATATATCATTTTAAATATACACTGCTCAAAAAAATAAAGGGAACACTAAAATAACACATCCTAGATCTGAATGAATGAAATAATCTTATTAAATACTTTTTTCTTTACATAGTTGAATGTGCTGACAACAAAATCACACATAAATTATCAATGGAAATCAAATGTATCAACCCATGGAGGTCTGGATTTGGAGTCACCCTCAAATTTAAAGTGGAAAACCACACTACAGGCTGATCCAACTTTGATGTAATGTCCTTAAAACAAGTCAAAATGAGGCTCAGTAGTGTGTGTGGCCTCCACGTGCCTGTATGATCTCCCTACAACGCCTGGGCATGCTCCTGATGAGGTGGCCGATGGTCTCCTGAGGGATCTCCTCCCAGACCTGGACTAAAGCATCCGCCAACTCCTGGACAGTCTGTGGTGCAACGTGGCGTTGGTGGATGGAGCGAGACACGATGTCCCAGATGTGCTCAATTGGATTCAGGTCTGGGGAACGGGCGAGCCAGTCCATAGCATCAATGCCTTCCTCTTGCAGGAACTGCTGATACACTCCAGCCACATGAGGTCTAGCATTGTCTTGCATTAGGAGGAACACAGGGCCAACCGCACCAGCATATGGTCTCACAAGGGGTCTGAGGATCTCATCTCGGTACCTAATGGCAGTCAGGCTACCTCTGGCGAGCACATGGAGGGCTGTGCGGCCCCCCTAAGAAATGCCACCCCACACCATGACTGACCCACCGCCAAACCGGTCATGCTGGAGGATGTTGCAGGCAGCAGAACGTTCTCCACGGCGTCTCCAGACTCTGTCACGTCTGTCACATGTGCTCAGTGTGAACCTGCTTTCATCTGTGAAGAGCACAGGGCGCCAGTGGCGAATTTGCCAAAAATGCCAAACGTCCTGCACGGTGTTGGGCTGTAAGCACAACCCCCACCTGTGGACGTCGGGCCCTCATACCACCCTCATGGAGTCTGTTTCTGACCGTTTAAGCAGACACATGCACATTTGTGGCCTGCTGGAGGTCATTTTGCAGGGCTCTGGCAGTGCTCCTCCTGCTCCTCCTTGCACAAAGGCGGAGGTAGCAGTCCTGCTGCTGGGTTGTTGCCCTCCTACGGCCTCCTCCACGTCTCCTGATGTACTGGCCTGTCTCTTGGTAGCGCCTCCATGCTCTGGACACTAAGCTGACAGACACAGCAAACCTTCTTGCCACAGCTCGCATTGATGTGGCATCCTGGATGAGCTGCACTACCTGAGCCACTTGTGTGGGTTGTAGACTCCGTCTCATGCTACCACTAGAGTGAAAGCACCGCCAGCATTCAAAAAAGTGACCAAAACATCAGCCAGGAAGCATAGGAACTGAGAAGTGGTCTGTGGTCACCACCTGCAAAACCAGTCCTTTATTGGGGGTGTCTTGCTAATTGCCTATAATTTCCACCTGTTGTCTATTCCATTTGCACAACAGCATGTGACATTTATTGTCAATCAGTGTTGCTTCTTAAGTGGACAGTTTGATTTCACAGAAGTGTGATTGACTTGGAGTTACATTGTGTTGTTTAAGTGTTCCCTTTATTTTTTTGAGCAGTGTATATTTCCTTCTTCATGATTTTCCCCTAACCCTACCACCCCTCCCTTAATTGGAGTAAACTAATGGACAACAATACTTAGGCTTTTACTTCCAGCTTATACACACTAGAAACATTTTACAGACAGTATATTTTACATTAGTTATCTTTTGTTTGCTTATAGTCCCAGCCTTCAGATACCATCATCCCTCCAATCTATCTCTAAAGACCATCCAGACCATGATTTCTGGCTGCCATTTTTCCACTGTGCTATGATGTTTCCCAAAAGTTCTGAACCTTTCTATTCTCAAAGTTTTTACAGATTGTAAATTAAAGACAAACATTTTTGCTAAGAGTATTATTATATTATTGATCGATTGACTATGACTTTTCAAAATCACCCAGCAGCGCTATTTGCAGAATTAGCTCCAAGTAAATGTTGCCATTTTTTTGTCATTCCTGAACCTGCGACCAAAAACAAGCTACCTATGGGCAGTACCAAAACAAGTGATCTAATGATTCTGTCAGCAAAATCTGCAGAGCTGGGATGGTTGTATACCCCATATATATAACATTATATTGGTTGCAAGAATTTTGTATAATAATTTAAATGGAAAACCTAAGTTTTGAATCGGGCGTCGTTCTGTGTATCAGTTCATAAACCATATGCTATGGAATCGGTACATCGAAAATCTCCCAACTATTTTGCAACATATATGGTGCAGCTGTCAATTTTTTGGTCCTTAAATGAAACTGGTATACTTTTTTATCTATCACCATTTTCTTTAGCCAATTTCGGTCTGTAATGCAGGGCCGACAAACAAGTTCCTTACCTTCCCCCCATTTCTACTTGCGTCCTCCATTGCTGCGGTAATGCTGCAGTTGGTTGTAATTTTGGATAGAGCAGACATTTCCATATATTTCTGTTAACTGCATGTGTGACATAACTCCACCAGTCCTATTTATGATATCATTTACAAAGATTATACCGTTTTTGAAATGTTTATTTTTTTAAAATCAATTAGTATATTTGAGTTTAACCATAATATTTGTTCTGTCTTTTCTGGTGGATTAAACTGAAATTGCAACCAGCTTTCTATGGCTTGTTTTAAAAATAGCTATATTTTTTTAATGTTCTGAAACCTTTAGTGATCAGTCTAATTCTTCAATATTTAATAATTTATGCCCTCCGAATTTATATTCATTATATAAATAGGCCCGTTTAATTTTGTCTGGCTTGCCGTTCCAAATAAAGTGGAATAGTTTGTGCTCATATAATTTTAAAAAACAGGTCGCTAGGTGTAGGCAGGACCATAAGTAAATAGGTAAACTGGGATATGACTAAAGAATAAATCAGGGTGATTTTTCCACAAATAGACAGGTGTTGTCCTTTCCATGGTAGCAAGATCTTATCTAATTTCGCTAATTCCTATTAAAATTGTATTGTCGTGAGATCATTTATTTCTTTCGGGATATGAATACCAAGTATGTCCACTTAACCTTCGGACCATTTTATTGGTAAGCTACACGGTAATGTAAAAGTTGTCTTTAGAGAGGTTAGGAAAATTATCTAGATACTCTATGTGCAGGGATCCAAATTGTAGATTTAAAAAAGATAACATGAATCGTCAGCGTACAATGACACCTTTGTTTTTAAGCCCTGGATTTCTAGCCCCTTGATATTATTGTTGGATCAGATTTTAATATCTAACATTTCGATGGTAGTGGACAACCTTGTTTTACTCCTCTTGACAATTTAATACTTTGAGAAGTAGCCATTATTTACTATTTTACACCTTGGGTTACTATACATAACTTTAACCCATTGTATAAGAGATTCTCCTAAATTAAAATAGTCCAGGTTTTTTATATAAATTCCAGTCGTACTTTATCAAAGGCCTTTTTAAAGTTAGCTATGAATACCAGGTCTGGTTTCACAGATTTTTCATAGCGTTCTATTGTTTCCAGTACTTGTCTTATATTATCTCCAATGTATCATCAATGTAAAAAACGTGTCTGATTAGGATGAATAATTCCGACAACACCTTTTTAATTATATGAGCTATGCATTTTGCTAGGATTTTGGCATCACAACACTGAAGTGTAAGAAGTCTCCAGTTTTTTAGGTGGACTGGATCTTTGTATTTAACACCTGGGTACTGTTTCAGTAAAAGCCAAATCAAACCTTCTTGCTGAGTATCCTATAGTTTTATAGGAGTGGTTAAAACATGTTAATAACAGACCTTTGAGTACAGTTGAAGTCGGAAGTTTACATACACTTAGGTTTGAGTCATTAAAACTCGTTTTTTTCCAACCACTCCACAAATTTCTTGTTAACAAACTATAGTTTTGGCAAGTCGGTTAGGACATCTACTTTTGTGCATGACAAGTAATTTTTCCAACAATTGTTTACAGACAGATTATTTCACTTATTATTCACTGTATCACAACTCCAGTGGGTCAGAAGTTTACATACACTAAGTTGACTGTGCCTTTAAACAGCTTGGAAAATTCCAGAAAAGGATGTCATTGCTTTAGAAGCTTCTGATAGGCTAATTGACATCATTTGAGTCAATTGCAGGTGTACCTGTGGATGTATGTCAAGGCCTACCTTCAAACTCAGTGCCTCTTTGCTTGACATCATGGGAAAATCAAAAGAAATCAGCCAATACCTCAGAAAAAAAATGTAGGCCTCCACAAGTCTGGTTCATCCTTGGGAGCAATTTCCAAACGCCTGAAGGTACCACGTTCATCTGTACAAACAATAGTACGCAACTATAAACACCATAGGACCACGCAGCCGTCACACCGCTCAGGAAGGAGACGCACGCGTTCTGTCTCCTAGAGATGAACGTACTTTGGTGCGAAAAGTGCAAATCAATCCCAGAACAACAGTAAAGGACCTTGTGAAGATGGGGGTTGCTTGCAAGTCGAAGAACACCATCTCAACCGTGAAGCACGGGGGTGGCAGCATCATGCTGTGGGGGTGCTTTGCTGCAGGAGGGACTGGTGCACTTCACAAAATAGATGGCACCATGAGGAAGGAAAATGATGTGGATATATTGAAGCAACATCAAGACATCAGTCAGGAAGTTAAAGCTTGGTCACAAATGGGTCTTCCAAATGGACAACGACCCCAAGCATACTTCCAAAGTTGTGGCAAAATGGCTTAAGGACAACAAAGTCAAGGTATTGGAGTGGCCATCACAAAGCCCTGATCTCAATCCTATAGAACATTTGTGGGCAGAACTGAAAAAGCATGTGCAAGCAAGGAAGCCTTCAAACCTGACTCAGTTACACCAGCTCTGTCAGGAGGAATGGGCCAAAATTCACCCAACTTATTGTGGGAAGCTTGTGGAAGGCTACCCAAAACATTTGACCCAAGTTAAACAATTTAAAGGCAATGCTACCAAATACTCATTGAGTGTATGTAAACTTCTGACCCACTGGGAATGTGATGAAAGAAATAAAAGCTGAAATAAATAATTCTCTCTACTATTATTCTGACATTTCACATTCTTAAAATAAAGTGGTGATCCTAACTGATCTAAGGCAGGGAATCTTTCCTAGGATTAAATGTCAGGAATTGTGAAAAACAGAGTTTAAATGTATTTGGCTAAGGTGTATGTTAACTTCCGACTTCAACTGTACATAGAAAAATATTTTATATACCTCAACTGGTATGCCATCCAGCCCTAGAGTTTTCCCGGACTTGAAGGCTTTAATTGCATCTAGAAGTTCCTCTTTTGTAATTAGGCCTTCACATGAGTGTTTCTGTATAGCTGTTAATTTTACACTATTCATAAAAAAATAACTTCAGTTAGTGGAGATGGAGGAGACTTAAATGAAAACATATGCTTAAAGTACTTTGCTTCTTCTTTCAAAATATTGTTAGGTGAATCATGGATGACTGTCATTTGTGAGAAGTTTCCGTAAATTATTTTTGGCAGCATTTCTATGTTGAAGATAAAAAAAATATTTGGTGCATTTGACCTAATATTCCATCCAGTTTGCTTTATTTTTATAATATATTACACTTTATCTTTCTTGAATAAGTTCCTCCATTTCTTTTTGTTTTTCCTCTAACTTATTCTGTGCCTCTTTGTTACAGATTTTATTGCTATCTATCTGTACCGTTAGTTCCTCTATTTCCTTTTTTAAGATGCTCTTTTGACCTAAATTGTTTTTGTTTTAAAGATGAGTATTGAATTGCATGGCCTCTAAAGGCACATTTAAAAGTGTCCCATACAATAAGAGGATCTCCTGTACCTATGTTACATAAAAAGTCAGTTATAAAATATTCTGTCTTTGTTAAAAACAAGTTGTCATCCAGTAGGCTTTGAAAACATTTCCAATATCGTCGCCCTCGCGGAAATTCTGTAAGAGTAATGTGTATACCAATTATTTGATGGTCCGACTGCATTCTGTCCCCTATCAACACTCAACTTTTGGTGCCAGCAAAAATGACATAAGAAAGTAATCAAGACAACTAGCTTGATTGAGCCTCCACCATGTACATCTCACTAGGTCAGGATATTTAAGCCACCATATATCCACTAGTTCCAATATATCCATAATATTCGTAATTTGCATGAGGATGGTAGTTTGTAGTGTGATTTCCTTTACGGTCCATTGAGGAACTTAAAACCGTATTATAATCTCCCACCATAATAATTGAGTCACGTATCGCCTGTAAGCTCGATAAATTATTATATATATTTTCAAAGAAGTGTGGATCATCATTATTTGGACCATATAGATTAATGAGCCAAATCTGTTTATGGTCCAATAACAAATTTAAAAGGATCCACACCTTCCTTGCGGATCTGTTTGAACATTTGTTCCAAATGATTGTTAATTAATATCATCACCCCTTTTGAGTTTTTTTTCCCCATGGGAGAAAAATATTTCACCCCCCCAGTACTTTTTCCATTCAACTTTGTCTAAAGGTGTAGAGTGAGTTTCCTGTAAACAATATATATTATATTCCTTCTCTTTTAGCCAGGTATTATCTGCTATGCCATTACAATTATAACTAGCTTTACTTCCAGTGCCTACGGAAGGTATTCAGACCCCTTGACTTTTCCCACATTTTGTTAGGTTACAGCCTCACTCTAAAATTGATTAAAATAGTTGTTTTCCCCCCTCATCAATCTACACACAATACCCCATAATGACAAAGCAAAAACTGGTTTTTATAAATGTTTGCAAATGTATTAAAAATAAAAAAAACAGTAATACCTTATTTACATAATTATTCAGACCCTTTGCTATGAGACTCGAAATTGAGCTCAGGTGCATCCTGTTTCCAATGATCATCCTTGAGATGTTTCTACAACTTGATTGGAGTCCACCTGTGGTAAATTCAATTGATTGACATGATTTGGAAAGGCACACACCTGTCTATATAAGGTCCCACAGTTGACAGTGCATGTCAGAGTAAAAAACAAGTCATAATGTTTAAGGAATTGTCCGTAGAGCTCCGAGACAGGATTGTGTCGAGGCATAGACCTGGGGAAGGGTACCAAAAAATGTCTACAGCATTGAAGGTCCCCAAGAACACAGTGGCCTCCATCATTATTAAATGGAAGAAGTTTGGAACCACCAAGACTCTTCCTAGAGCTGGCCGCCTGGCCAAACTGAGCAGTCGGGGGAGAACCCCCGACTGCTCAGAGTTCCTCTGTGGAGATGGGAGAACCTTCCAGAAGAACAACCATCTCTGCAGCACTCCACCAATCAGGCCTTTATGGTAGAGTGGCCGGACGGAAGCCACTCCTCAGTAAAAGGCACATGACAGCCCACTTGGAGTTTGCCAAAAGGCACCTAAAGACTCTCAGACCATGAGAAACTAGATTCTCTGATCTGATGAAACGAAGATTGAACTCTTTGGCCTGAATGCCAAGAGTCATGTCTGGAGGAAACCTGGCACCATCCTTACGGTGAAACATGGTGGTGGCAGCATCATGCTGTGGGGATGTTTTTCAGCGGCAGGGACTGGGAGACTAGTCAGGATTGAGGCAAAGATGAACGGAGCAAAGTACAGAGAGATCCTGCTCCAGAGCACTCTGGACCTCAGACTGGGTTAAAGGTTCACCTTCCAACAGGACAACGGCCCTAAGCACACAGCCAGGACAACGCAGGAGTGGCTTCGGGACAAGTATCTGAATGTCCTTGAGTGGCCCAGCCAGAGCCCGGACTTGAACCCGATTGAACATCTCTGAAGAGACCTGAAAATAGCTGTGCAGCAACGCTCCTCATCCAACCTGACAGAGCTTGAGAGGATTTGCAGAGAAGAATGGGAGACGCGTCATACCCAAGAAGACTCAAGGCTGTAATCGCTGCCAAAGGTGCTTCAACAAAGTACTGAGTAAAGGGTCTGAATATTTATGTAAATGTTTAATATTTGTATTTTTTAATAAATTAGTAAACATTTCTAAAAACCAGTTTTTGCTTTGTCATTATGGGGTATTGTGTGTAGATTGATGAGGGGAAAAAAACTATGTAATACATGTTAGAATAATGCTGTAACCTAACAAAATGTGGAAAAAGTCAAGGGGTCTGAATACTTTCCAAAGGCACTGTATTTCCTCACTTACCATAATGAGATACAAGTTGAGTAAACTTACCATAATATGTTTATAAACTTACCATTAAGAAGTACTATGATAAGTGTCCACATACACTATATATACAAAAGTATGTGGACAACCCTTCAAATTAGTGGATTCGGCTATTTCAGACACACCAGTTGCTGACAGGTTTATAAAATCGAGGACACCGCCATACAATCTCCATAGACAAACATTGGCAGTAGAATGGCCTTACTGAAGATCTCAGTGACCTTCAGCGTGGCACCGTCATAGGATGCCACCTTTCCAAAAAGTCAGTTTGTGAAATTTCTGCCCTGCTAGAGCTGCCTCGTTCAACTTTAAGTGCTGTTATTGTGAAGTGGAAACGTCTAGTCGCAAAGTGGTAGGCCACACAAGCTCACAGAACGGGACCGCCGAGTGATGGTGTGTAGCGCGTAAAAATAATCTGTCCTCGGTTGCAACACACTACAGAGTTCCAAACTGTCACTGGAAGCAACATCAGCACAAGAAGTGTTCGTCGGGAGCTTCATGAAATGGGTTTCCAAGGCCAATCAGCCGCACACAAGCCTAAGATCACCAAGCGGAATTAAAAGCATTGGCTGGAGTGGTGTAAAGCTCGCCGCCATTGGACTCTGGAGCAGTGGAAATGCGTTCTCTGGAGTGATGAATCACGCTTCACCATCTGGCAGTCCGACTGAGTAATCTGGGTTTGGCGGATGCCAGGAGAACGCTACCTGCCCGAATGCATAGTGCCAACTGTAAAGTTTGGTGGAGGAGGAATAATGGTCTGGGGCTGTTTTTCATGGTTCGGGCTAGGCTCCTTAGTTCCAGTGAAGGGAAATCTTAAGGCTACAGCATACAATGACATTCTAGACGATTATCTGCTTCCAACTTTGTGGCAACAGTTTGGGCAAGGCCCTTTCCTGTTTCTGCATGACAATGTCCATGTGCACAAAGCGAGGTCCATACATAAATGGCTTGTCGAGATCGGTGTGGAAGAACTTGACTGGCCTGCACAGAATCCTGACCTCAACCCCATCGAACACCTTTGGAATTAATTGGAACGCTGACTGCGAGCCACGCCTAATCGCCCAACATCAGTGCCCGACCTCACTAATACTCTTGTGGCTGAAAGGAAGCAAGTCCCCGCAGCAATTTTCTAACATCTAGAGGAAAGCCTTACCAGAAGAGTGGAGGCTGTTATAGCAGCAAAGGGGAGACCAACTCCATTTTAATGCCCATGATTTTGGAATGAGATGTTCGACGAGCAGGTGTCCACATACTTTTGGTCATGTAGTGTAGCAGTACCATGATATTTGCAGTGTTAAGCATACTGCTGCTAAAGATTCTTCCAATATTCCACCCGCTAAAACCTTCCCCCATCCCAAGTTGGGTTGTCGTCCCAGTGACTGGCTGACCGTCCCTGTACACATGGATCCTAGGGCCATTAAGAGATAGGGGCCCATCCTTTAAAAAGAGCACATGGTGCCACCTACAGTACAGAACCATATCTGCAGCCAACATCACGTCGAACACCCTGATCTCGGTTGTACTGCATCTAGTTATTAAAAAAAATATATATATAAAAAAATCTTGCAACACTTCAAGTGTTAAAGAGTGTTTTAAAAAAAGTGTCAAAGAATGAGCTCCACCCAGAAGCCAGTTTTACTGGGATGTGACACGAGGCTCTTGGGTGTGGAATGTAGCCTTTACCAGTAGGTAGGGTCCTTTGGCCGCCCAGTCCCGAGAGTTTCCCGAGCCGTACTGCTTCCCTGCCAGGATGATGAGGGGAACCCCGTCTCTCTGGTAGCGCTCTACTGCCTCAAACACGTCCAGCTAACAGAAAAAAACCACACTGTTAAACAACTTGGCCGAAATCATGTATATTTTCCTCTCTCCATTTACATTTACTGCAAAGATGAATTGCATATCCACCATAAAATCTCATGTTATTTGTAATAAGACATTTTGATACTTCACTTGAAGCGTTTGCTTGGGTTATCAGATCGTGAGTGGCAGGGAGATACTTATTCCCTTCCGTACAGAGCTGAATGAAGAGCACAAATTAAGCGCACCGTTTATAGACTTGACCCCCTCTCTCACTTACCGTCTGGCCTGACGGAATGTGCAGGGTCTTGGGGCCCGGTTTGCCGATGAATCGGTTCTGGAGTTTGATGCTGGCGAACGTCCCTCGGGTCATCACTGCGTCGTTTCCCCTCCGGGCGCCGTACGAATTGAACTCTCGTGGTGTAAGGCTGAGAGTGAGAAATCCAGAATTTAAAAGGTCAAACAGGAGGGGGATACCTCAACTGCTTTCCTCCTGAGTCCCACTGACAGTTTACCAAAACATTTGCTCCTGTCCCTGGTAAAAATGCTACAGTAGCACTCTGCATACCACATATAAATACATGACATGGAGGTGAAGAGTTTGAACAACCCAGCCTCTGGTAAAATGCTGCAGCAGTTTGCGTACCACGTAGAGATAAATTAAAGGGTGCTCACCGTTTGCTCACCAGGTACCTGGCAGCAGCGCTGACCCTGGCGATGCTCCCGGCAGGGGAGATGTGGTCGGTGGTCACCTTGTCTCCCAGGAACAGCAGGGCGTGGGCGTTCTCTATGGACTGGGGTGGTTGGACCTCTTTACACTGGGAGAGAGGGGAGAGGTCATATACAACCAGGGCCCAGAGTAGATCTGAACTATGAATTCAGCTTAACGTGATGCTAATATGTTTCAACAAACTATCCATTACGCTTTGAATATATGAAATACATATACCTACTTCTTAAATTATCTCCCTTCTTAAAAGTGTTTATTATTGTTGTACATTTCTGAGTAATTTTCCACACAAAAAATAAGAGACTCACAAGTTTGTTAAAGAAGGAAGGAGAGCGGATGTATGTGGATTTGGGATCCCATGGGAAAACCACAGACTCTGGACATTCAAGGTTGTTCCAAAACGTGTTCCCTTTCTGTAACAGAGTGACAAACAGCACACCGTAATGAAACTTGAATAGGTTGAGAAAGAAAAAAAGAGACTCAAGAGAGGGAGTCAACCCTAAACTTACAAGCTTGGAATACGTTCAGTTGGTAGAGTTCGGTATGACCATCAACTGTTTCAAAAGGACAGACCCTCACCTCCCTTCTGGCACGGAGCTCTGTGAACATGGAAGAGATGACCTTGTCCTGCTCTATGTGCTGCACCTCCTCCCTGGTGGGCCACACGTCCCGCAGGTACACCTCCTTCCCCTCAGAGGTCACACCTACACCAAATAAACTTCATCTGTCACATGCGCCGAATACAACAGGTGTAGACCTTACCGTGAAATACTTACAAGCTCTTAATCAACAATGCAGTTGAAGAAATAGTAACACAATAAAATAATAATGAGGCTATATACAGGGGGTACCGGTACCGAGTCAATGTGTGGGGGTACAGGTTAGTCGAGGTAATTTGTACATGTAGGTAGGGGTAAAGTGCTTATACATAGATAATAGACAGCGGGTAGCAGCAGTGTAAAAACAAATGGAAGGGGGGTGGGGGGGTGTCAATGTAAATAGTCCGGGTGACCATTTGATTAATTCTTCAGCAGTCTTATGGCTTGGGGGTTGAAGCTGTTAAGAAGCCTTTTGGTCCTAGACTTGGCGCTCCGATACCACTTGCCGTGCGGTAGCAGCGAGAACAGTCTATGACTTGGGTGACTGGAGTCTTTGACCATTTTTTGGGTTTCCTCTGACACTGCCTAGTATATAGGTCCTGGATGGAAGGAAGCTCCACTACAGCCCCGTCGATGTGAATGGGGGCGTGTTCGGCCCGCCTTTTCCTGTAGTCCAAAATCAGCTCCTTTGTCTTGCTCACATTGAGGGAGAGGTTGTTGTCCTGGCACCACACTGCCAGGTCTCTGACCTCCTCCCTATAGGCTGTCTCATCATTGTCGGTGATCAGGCCTACCACTGTTGTGTTGTCAGCAATCTTAATGATGGTGTTGGAGTTGTGTTTGGCCACGCAGTCGTAGGTGAAGAGGGAGTACAGGAGGGGACTAAGCATGCACCCCTGAGGGGCCCCAGTATTGAGGATCAGCGTGGTAGACGTGTTGTTGCCTACCCTTACCACCTGGGGGCAGCCCGTCGGTAATCATTTAGGCAGGTTACCTTCACTTCCTAGGGCACAGGGACTATGGTGGTCTGCTTGAAATGTAGGTATTACAGACTCGGTTGAAAATGTCAGTGAAGATACTTGCCAGTTGGTCCGCGCATGCTTTGAGTACACGTCCTGGTAATCCGTCTGGCCCTGCGGCTTTGTGAATGTTGACCTGTTTAAAGGTCTTGCTCACATCGGCTACCGCAAGCCTTATCACACAGTTGTCCGGAACAGCTGGTGCTCTCATGCATGCTTCAGTGTTGCTTGCCTCGAAGCGAGCATAAAAGGCATAAAAGGCACTTGTCTGGTTGGCTCGCGTCACTGGGCAGCTCACAGCTGGGTTTCCCTTTGTAGTCCGTAATAGTTTTCAAGCCAGGCCACATTCGACGAGCGTTAGAGCCGGTGTAGTAGGATTCAGTCTTAATCCTGTATTGACACTTCGCCTGTTTGATGGTTCGTCTGAGGGCGTAGCGGGATTTCTTATAAAGTGTCCGGATTAGTGTCCCGCTCCTTGAAAGCGGCAGCTCTAGCCTTTAGCTCGATGCGGTTGTTGCCTGATCCATGGCTTCTGGTTGGGATATGTACGTACGGTCACTGTGGGGACGACGTTGTCGATGCACTTATTGATGAAGCTGATGACTGAGGTGGTATACTCCTCAATGCCATTGGATGAATCCCGGAACATATTCCAGTCTGTGCTAGCAAAACAGTCCTGTAGCGTAGCATCCGCATCATCTGACCACCTCCGTATTGAGCGAGTCACTGGTACTTCCTGCTTAAGTTTTTGCTTGTAAGCAGGAATCAGGAGGATAGAATTATGGTCAGATTTGCCAAATGGAGGGCGAGGGAGTGCTTTGTATGCGTCTCTGTGTGTGGAGTAAAGGTGGTCTAGAGTTTTTTTTCCCTCTGGTTGCACATGTGACATGCTGGTAGAAATTAGATCAAACGGATTTAAGTTTGCCTGCATTAAAGTCCCCGGCCACTAGGGGCGCCGCTTCTGGATGAGCATTTTCTTGTTTGCTTATGGCCTTATACAGCTCATTGAGTTCAGTCTTAGTGCCAGCATCGGTTTGTGGGGGTAAATAGACGGCTACTAATAATATAGATGAGAACTCTCTTGGTAGAAAGTGTGGTCTACAGCTTATCATAAGGTACTCTACCTCAGGCGAGCAAAACCTCAAGACTTTTTTAATATTAGACATCACGCACCAGCTGTTATTGACAAATAGACAGTATATCCTTCGCGTCGGACTCGTTAAAGAAAAAATCTTTGTCCAGTTCGAGGTGAGTAATCCAGAAGTTATTTCTTTCATAAGAGACGGTAGCAGCAACCTTATGTACACAATAATTTAAAAAATAAGTTACAAACAACGTGAAACATAATGCATTTGGCTAGAAGCCCGTAAAACGGCAGCTATACCCTCCAGCGTCATTACTCAACAGGGTTACAAACATGCTAACACATTAGGTTTTTGACCTTCCATTGGAGTCCCCCAGGAAAACATTTTGGACCCCCCAGATAACTTTTTTGGACTATCACAGAAAGTGAACGGTAGTTCATTAATGGTATCAAAAAGTGTAGAAGACAGGAGCCAAATTATTAAAATAAAGTGTCAAACAAACGTCAAAATGTGGTCTTGAGGTTTGAAACATGCGATGTTGTTCACTCACCTAGAGGCTCTTTCTCGAAGTTGATGCTGACGGTACCGGCGATGGCATACGCCACTACTAGGGGCGGAGAGGCCAGGTAGTTGGCCCTGACACAGTCACATAGGCGTCCCTCAAAGTGTCGGTTCCCAGACAGCACTCCGCAGGCCACCAAGTCCCCCTACAGAGGCGCATGAGGAAGGTTAGACCTTCCTATAAAACCTCTCCGTCACGCTCTCTAGCCACGCATGTGGTCAAAAGCTTTTAACAACAGAGTGCGTTAAGGAGGCAGTCAAGTGTATTTTCTTTTTTTCAAGGATCAAATTAACATACAACATTGGATAATATCTCCAAAATACTTCATTCTGGAATACAGTCTTATTCATTCACAGCTCTGCAGTGAATAGTAACCAAGTTAAGAGAGTTTGTTCAAGTACCTCTTTTATAGCTTCAGTGACAGTCTCTGGTAAAGGTGCAGTGTTTCCAACGCAGGTGGCACATCCATAGCCTATCACCTCAAACCTAAGTCAGATATGAGGAACAATTATCTAATATTCTACTCCTGAATATTCAATAAGCCAATTATGCATAATCAAGTTATGTGTGTGTGGGATGGACACGAGTCGGGTACATAGTTGCTCATGGTTCTCGTGATGAGGTAGCCCTGCCTGCGACATTAAAACCTGTGTTAGCCCTCGGCCCAAGAGGAAATGTTCTCTTGGTCTAACGGTCGAGACATTGGTTTCTCCCGTGGGAGACCCGGGTTCAGATATCGCCCGTGACATGTGTGTCCTCACCCTAGCTGGCTGAGGTAAGGCAGTACTCCACTGGTGTTGAGGTAGTGGGTGACCATGCCGCTGCCAGGAGCCAGGCTGGTGCGGATATAAGGCTTGACGATAAGGCCCGCCTCCACCGCTTTCTTGGCCAGCAAACCTGTCAATCAAAAGGCAATACCAGGTGCATTGGCAAAATTCCTGACACTTTCCCAAAACTTCAATTGGGATTTCTGGAAAACCTGGGAATTAGTACCGTGTCTCACCTGCGGTCAGCATGACGGAGGGGTTGCAGTTGTTGGTGCAGCTGATGACGGCTGCGATGACAACAGAGCCGTGGGCCAACTTGTACTCCTGACCACCGTGGAGGAACGGTACCAGGCTCTCCTGCTTCTCCTTGGAGATGTGGAACCCTTTGAAACCCACCTGGAAAGAGAAACACAATTAAATGAACTAATCAATACTTTCATTATTTTACAGCCAGAAGATGTGGCAGGGATCTCACCCCTTTCTAAGTAACAGACAAAACCAGGTCATTCTAACAGAAGTATTTATCACTCATATTAAGTTGTAGTGAACAAGGGTCATATGATTGATTCATTTGAGATGAACCAATGAAAAGCCTTATATAGGACATTTTCCCTTAATGGGCAGTTTTACTTTTCTGGTGCTATGCAAACTAAAATATGAATAGGCTAATTGTCTGATGATCTCAAGTATTGGAGTTGTCTCGACTTCCTTGACCTGAGGTGTCTGACTGATATGTTACCTTCTCGTTGAGACAGCTCTGGAAGTCCTCCTTCATGCTGCTGACGGCCACCCTGTCCTGGGGCCTTTTGGGCCCACTCACATGGGGCACCATGGAACTCAGGTTGATCTCAATCACCTTTAGCGAAAACAGGGACAACATAACTGTACATCTTTGATTGTGAAACAGGATAACGATGCACTTTGTAATATGGACCAATATTCCTCCATAGCTTCCTCTGCTTGTTGGCCACTAATATCTGAAAAGACTAAAAGAATACCTCAGAATATTGTGGGTCTTCTGATGAGTCCTCATAGCTCCTGAAGAGTTTCACAGCCTTCAGATAAGCCTCCAATAATTGAAGTTTCTCCTCAGTAAAGTCTGAGAGCAAACGAAAACATCAAGTTTTAACATTACATGCCACAGATGCAACAGTATAAACATCAAGGGATAGTTCAGCCAAATGACAAATTTACCCCACCTTATGGAAACCAAGAAAGTAGTCTGTAGACCGAATTTGGGTTTGTTTAATTTAGCATTAACATTGCTGAGTGAAAAACAATTAGTACAGCTTCTGTTAGCATGTTCCAAATAGCATGCACATAAATCTAAAAATTAAACCTAACACACATCCCAGCCTCAGAAGTGACAGTCTAGCCTGGTCCCAGCTCTGCTTGTGCGTTCTTGCCAATTCTTATGGTCATTGTTACGCCAATGACCAGATAGGTTGGCAAGACAGCACAACAGACCTGAAACAGGCTAGTGACAGCTTCCTGTCTTACTTGTTTGCTTAAAGTGCTTGAGTGTGACATGGTCGACAGGGAAGAAGCTGACGGTGGCATTGTACTCGGGACACATGTTGGCGATGGTGGTCCTGTCTGGGACAGACAGCTGGGACACGCCGGGACCAAAGAACTCCACAAACTTCCCAGCTATGCCCGCCTGACGAAGGTGCTGAGATGGAGAACACATCGAATCAGGCTTGACAGTGCATTTAAAACATCTCCATCATGTACTTTACAATACATATACATTTTACATTTTAGTCATTTAGCAGACGCTCTTATCCAGAGCGACTTACAGTTAGTGAATACATTTTTTTTTTTTATACTGGCCCCCCGTGGGAATCGAACCCACAACCCTGGCGTTGCAAACGCCATGCTCTATCAACTGAGCTACATCCCTGCCGGCCATTCCCTCCCCTACCCTGGACGACGCTGGGCCAATTGTGCGCCGCCCATGAGTCTCCCGGTCGCGGCCGGCTGCGACAGAGCCTGGATTCGAACCAGGATCTCTAGTGGCACAGTTAGCACTGCGATGCAGTGCCTTAGACCACTGCGCCACTCAGGAGTGGTCAATGACAATATAGATAATACAAAGGAAATTAAAAAGACAGATAGGCCTAAAGGTGGTTCAACGTTATATAACTGTGTTACTGAAATGCTAGCAATCAATAAAAAGTTATACTTTGCAAGTGCAGTGTACAGGAGCTTCTTTCCTTTGAATATGTTTTCAACATTTCTGAGCTACCCCCAAATGTGTGCCAGTACATTTAATTTCTTAGCTGTAGCCTACCTTGGTGATCCCCAGAACAATATCGATGGAAGTGGCCAGGGTGTTGACGGAGCCTACCAGCCTGCAGCCAACCACCTGGGGGAGGGTCAGAGAGATGGGCTGGCCCAGCATCACTGCCTCCGACTCGATCCCTCCCACACCTGACAGACATCGAGCGGGGAAGAGACAGGAAAACGTGTTAAAGTTATGGAGCTATTGGCTAATTCACACGTCAATCTCCTTCTTATGCGCTTTCATCACCAAAGCATTGTAACTTGGATATTAACCATGATTCATGTGATTTTAGCATAATTCTTAGTCCTTTCTTTGATGTTTTTCTGTTTGATGCTAATCTAGTATTTGAGGTTAATGGGTATTTCAGTCCGTACACTCGGTACAACACACAGCTATTGTGAGGTTGTGCATCCGTGAAATGTCCCTCCTTCAGGGTACCATAGTTATATTCATAACTTTACAAAATGGCAATGATTTCAGCCAGTATTAGCTGCTGTGTGGACATTGATAGAACTTTAAGTTGTTGTTCTTTACCCCAGCCGAGGATGCCCAGGCCGTTGATCATGGTGGTGTGAGAGTCTGTGCCCACCACGCTGTCTGGGTAGATGAAGCCCTGGCTCTCCTGCACCACCCGAGACAGGTACTCCAGGTTAACCTGGTGGACTGCGCCCACGTCCGGGGGCACCACGTTCACGTTCTTAAACGCTTTGGAGCACCACTTCAGGGGAAAAAGAGAAACACGTAGGAAAAAAGTTGGACTGGTGCGCTACACAGGCCTAAATAAGTTGCAGCCTTGTTACAATGTGTGATTATAGGTGCTGGTTTCAGTTGGAAATAGCTGCTGCAGACTCTCTGTAACTATGTATCTTGTTCACATTGAATTTACTTTAACTAGAGAGAGAGAGAAAGTTACCTTAAAGAACTGTAGCCGTTCTTTGTTTCGGATCAGCTCCAACTCCTGGTTTTTCAGAGTTGTTTCAGGTCTGCAGAAAACAACCAGAAGGACAATGAACACATTTCCTCTCTCCTATAGAGGGTAGGCTTTGCTACAGTATATATCACCCCAATACTCAGGAGTCAGGACCTACATTCCCGAATTAGAGGTCTTCTCGGATTCCGAAATTGAGATCCGAACAGAATTGGATTAAGAAATATAGCTTAATTGCTGCGCAAGCCAGCAGAATTGTTTTGACTTGTCTGGCAGGCAGTATACGTTAACATTTCACATGCATTTCCTGTTGTAGGCCTGGCTAAAATAATTGAGTTGTGGTCCACACTACAGCTTAGTATTTTCATAAATGACATCCCTAATTTAAAATGGCGACACAAGAACAATGGAATTGGGGATGTCTTCTCCGTCTCCCGTTCATCGTTTCATTGTGTAAATTGCTTGCCTTGTGTTTTATGTAGGCTCTCTCCAGAATGTGCTTTGGTCTCCCGCATGTGTTTTTTAAAGTTGTGGTAGTTTCAACAGGGTTTTTGGTGCGTGTGCAGTTTATAAAGTGATCATTTAAAAAAATACAAGTAATATGATTATTATTGTTGGACATGTTTGTGTAGATAGTACATTTTATGTTTATGTTTTCAATATATCACAAACTGTTTCTGCATATTAGTTATCAAGAAGCTTGATCTTGCAAGCTAGCCACTTACATAGCATAGCATAGCTGGAGCCCTGAGCTGGAGATAATTTATTTGGCACATCTTAGATAGTTAAACTTTTCTTACAATATATTTAGCTGGAAAACATTAGTAGTGAATTCTAAGTGTAACTTGATCACCTCTCTTGAGCTGCACAACAGTGGATCGTCACGTCGCGAAAGCTTCCGTTTGCTCTTTGCAAACAAACATGCCATGTGACTCAATCAACTGCTTTGTGGGAACGGCTTCGTAATGAAAAAATAATGCAACAGGCGAAATGAAGAACGCAATCTGCTTTATCTATTAACCTAGTGCACAAGTTGCCTGCAGGTATTTAAAAATAACAAATATTCAACAAAACAATGACAAATAATTAGTAGGAAACAACATTGTCATCATTGTGTTGTTGACAAATTTACTTTAGACAGATGGTCATATTGCCATTAGCTAGCAAAGTTTGTCAAAAATACCTAGCAATGCTAACATTAGCTAGCTCCAATCCGGTCCTCTCCACTCAATCTTAGCTAGCTAATGTAATCTAAAGTCAATCTGACATCACAATGACAAAAGGTTTTCCTACCAATTATGTCTCCTTTATACATATCATCGTATCTCCAAGCCACTATAATGCACTTTTGCTGAAATCTTCATCTGCGCCAATTGAGAAAGCATTAAGTACAACAGTCACCAGGGATGTATTCTTTACGCTGATTCTGTTGCAAAACGTTTTGCAACAGAAACTGTTTACTCCAAACACTTCAATGTGACCTAAAAGCTGTTGGGTTCTTAAATGGAAGTTGTAGTTAATTTTAATTGTATGGTTCCACACGTTGCCATTCCAAACGGAATAGTCTGAAGTGTTTGGCACAAGCATCTATAAATGATTGATTCTTACATGCTCTAAAGTGGAGTGAAGTCCGCTGGGTTCCTTCCAACTTCTTCCAGACGCTTTTATATATATATTTTTAGAGAGACAACTGAACTACAACTTCCTTTTAACAACAAACTGGAATTCAACAGCGTTTGGAGTAAACGGTTTCACGTTTTTGCAACAGACTAAACGTTTTGCAACAGAATTGGCGTAATGAATACACCCCAGTCTTCAAGAGAATATTCACAACAATGGCGTGACGCAAAGTGCAATTCATGAATATGTATAGATTCTTACTCAGAGACGGGTTGTAGGTGGAAGGGGCATAGGAGAGGGGTGTTCTCAATCTGCTGGACAGCAGTGGCGGGTCTTCCCGGGGTGTCACTGCAGCCCCCTTTGCTGCAGCTCCCTCTCTCGCTTCCGCACTGGGACCCCCTTCTGGGTGTGGGTCTGGTGGGGGAGGGACGAGACAGAGGTCCCTGGCTCTGGCCATCTCCTCCACCAGGGTTGGGGGAGTTCTGTATGGCACTGCAGAGAAAGGGTGGATCATTTCAGAAAGAGCAGGATCATTTCTGAGGATAATTAAGAAACTGCAAAGGTTAATTTCAGAAATAGCACAGTAACAAGATATCCAACTCAGGAGGGTTTCCCAGCTATCGTAAGATAAAATATGTAACTTTGGGCGAAACTGTCCCTTTAAGCCCACCATTTGTTGAGGTCGATCTGTAGCGAGTGGTCAACGATGAGGTCCGTTGGGCACACAGGGTTGACCAGGCAGGGGTCCACTCCGTGTTTGATCACTGCATCCCTCATGGCAGCCAGGTCCACCATGGCAGGGATGCCCCTGTGTGGAAGGAACAACCATCAGATCCACCATACTACTCCACAAAACAATAATACACAGGGAAACCAACACTGGTGACCGATAGCACTGCAATACAGTATTGGTGATCCCACTAGGATTTAATACATGTAGGCCTATTGGGATTTTGAGGTGGTGGAACCATAGAAATGAGTGAAACTGTCTTTGCAATTGGCTAGTTTAACTAAATGTGCTCAAGATCTTGATTCGATCATGTAACCAGATAGTGCTGCAATGTTGCTGTACCCTTGAGCAAGGTCCCTTCTCTGGAGTTCAGAGAAATACTGTTTTCCATTCCTATGACAACAAGCAACACTGTGTGTGCACTTGATCAACTGCCCAAAATGAGGTGAGAAGAATACACTGTGAGGATACCGGTGGTGAGCCCTGACCTCCAAAATATTACAGAGACTCCATTTACCTCACCTACTGGCGCTACAAAAAGGAAGCCAACAAAAAGGTCTGGGGATGGCTACAACTCTACATGTCTTTGGAGGGGTAGACAGGGAGTATGCTGTGACACAGGGACACTGCTGGTATCTTAGACCAGGTTTCTCTTGCAAAAAAAGATTGTCTATCAAAAGAGATGAACCTGGATAATCACAGGTTGGAGAGGGAGAGAAAGACACTCACGTGAAGTCCTGCAGCAGGACCCGGGCAGGAGGGAAGGGCACCTCCGCCACATTCTGCTGCTCGCTCCAGTCTAGGATGTTGTGGACGTCCTCTTCTTTCACGTAGAAGCCGTCGCATTTGCGTATGGCCGCCTCCAAGAGGACACGGATGGAGAGAGGCAGCTTGTCTATGGAAAGGAAAGGAATGAGAGACCGTTGTAAACACCCTCAGAAAACACCCTCGTTTTTTTTTTTTGTTAAATGGCATTTATTTGCATCCTATTGGTTTTGACCATGCTACCTGAACAGTTCAACTCAGGGCCCTATAATGACAAAAGCTACGTTTTGGGAAATCATTTGACTCTGGTTTGATCTTTTGACGCATAAGTGCAAACATTAGCCTATTGTTGTTGTACACAGGAGCTGACAAACCCGCACTCACTGTATCTTGCATCGTTCAGCTTCTGTGGATTGAAATACTTCCGGTCGCCATCTTTCAGCGTGTCAATCAGGTGGTTAAAAGGATGCTCCTCTGTATGGGGAAACAGAAACACACATCAATCTGACACTAGAGACTGCCCATCCTAGAGGAGAGCACGTACATTCATTATTTACACACCTCATGAGTTCAACTAGGCCACTACTTCTTCCACCCTCACACAAAGAGTGTGATTAAATAGCACCTGCTTGTACAAGTGAAACACATGCAAATACAAGATGCTAAGTGTGTGTGTGTGTATTAGCAGTTGGGATGGTTGTCTATTCTACTCTACATCCTATGGAAACTTTGAGGGCCATTTGAAGAGTTCTGCCTCTTGGCATGCAGCGTTCACCCTTCTCCGTGGTCGACTCACTTTAAATCAGCACAATGTAGCTTTCCCTTCATTTTGCCTGTCAAAAAAAAGCTGGGGGAATGTCATGTAGACCTATGTGTTTTGTTCCACTTGGTTGCTGGCTTTTTGAACCAAGGCTGGAATAAAAGCTAAATCACAAGTAGTCAGGCAGGCCTCTGTAGGGGACAGCACAAAGTGGTCCCAATGTTTGTGACTTCCCTAGCCTACTAGAGCTAGGAACGAGTTATGGGAACGAGTTGGAATTTGGAGATCGAGATGGACTCGTAGGCACCTGTTTCTCTAGACGGGTTGCCTCCCAAAATGTAGGAATGCTCTGCACCAAGGTCTGGGATTTCCGAGACTAGGTGGCTACTATTTAAAAACAACGGTCATCATTTCACCATATTAGTATAAGAAAAATGCAAGCATCTTGTTGTCACATAACTGTCCATTGTGCATCTGTGTAAGGCAACTCATATTTCTTCCTTCTTGGCATGACAAGCCTGACATAACTACCATTTTAATTTCATAACAGTTCAAACTTGCATGCATACTGTAAACCCAACATGCTTACTGTCACCAGGAAACAAAACCACATAAGATCATGAGCAAAAAGAGGGATGAGGGACAGGAAGGTAACTCAAATATGCTCCTATTTAGTAAAGGGAGGTCACGTCTTGCTTATCATCACAAGCCTCATGTCAAATGTTTTTGAAAGATTAGCCTGTATGGGCCAACAGTAGAAACACTGTTGCTTGTGTGGAGGTAGCTAATCATACAAAATACTAGATGTATAACAATACATTTAATTTGTATAGCGCTTTTCATTACAGAGTTCTCAAAGCTCTGAGAATGTCTTGATTATTACAGTGCCTTCAGTTAAATTCAAACCCCTTTACTTTTTCCACATATTGTTGTGTTACAGCCTGAATTAAAAATGGATTACATCTAGATTTTTTGTCAATGGCCTACACACAATACCCTATAATGTCAAAGTGGAATTAGGTTTTCAAGTTATTAAAACAAATGAATTAAAAATGAAAACCTGAAATGTTTTAAGTCAATAAGTATTCAACCCCTTTATTATGGCAAGCCTAAACAAGTTAAGGAGTAAAAATGTGCTTAACAAGTCACATAATAAGTTGCATGGACTCACTGTGTGTGCAATAATAGTGTTTAACATGATTTTTGAATGACTACCACATCTCTGTACCCGACACATACAGATAATTTTAAGGTCCCTCAGTCGAGCAGTGAATTTCAAACACAGATTCAACCACAAAGGGAGATTTTCCAATGCCTTGCAATGAAGGGCACCCAATGGTTGATGGCTAAAGATTTAAAAAAGCAGACACTGAATATCCCTTTGAGCATGGTGAAGTTATTAATTACACTTTGGATGGTGTATCAATACACCCAGTCAAAGATTCAGGGGTCCTTCCTAACTCAGTTGCCAGAGAGGAAGGAAACCACACAGGGATTTTACCATGAGGCCAATGGTGACTTTAAAACAGAGTTTAATGACTGTAATACTAACCTAATTGTGAGAGTGAAAATAAGGAAGCTTGTACAGAATACAAATATTCCAAAACATGCATCCTCTTTGCAATAAGGCACTAAAGTCAAACTGCAGAAATTGTGGCAAGATATGTACCTTATGTCCTGAATACAAAGCGTTATGTTTGGGGCAAATGCAACACATCACTGAGTACCACTCTTCATATTTTCAAGCATGGTGGTGGCTGCATCATGTTATGGGTATGCTTGTCAACCACAAGGACTAGGGAGTTTTTAGGATAAAAAGAAATGGAATAGAGCTAAGCACAGGCAAAATCCTAGAGGAAAACCTGGTTCAGTCTGCATTCCAACAGACACTGGGAGACAAATTCACCTTTCAGCAGGACAATAACTTAAAACACAACTCCAAATATACACTGGAGTTGCTTACCAAGACGACATTGAATGTTCCTGAATGGCCTAGTTACAGTTTTGACTTAAATTGGCTTGAAAATCTATGGCAAGACTTGAAAATGGCTGTCTAGCAATGATCAACAACCAACTTGACAGAGCTTGAAGAATTTTTAAAATAATAATGTGCAAATATTGTACAATCCAGGTGTGCAAAGCTCTTAGAGACTTACGCAGAAAGACTCAGATCTAAAATCACTGCAAAAAGGTGATTCTAACATGTATTGACTAAGGGGGTTGAATGCTTATCTAATGAAGATAGTAGTGTTTTATATATATACTTTTTTTTACATATTCACATTTTTCTTCCACTTTCACATTAGATTATTCTGTGTAGATCGTTGACAAAAAATCAAGGCAGGTAAAATAGCAATAGTGGTCTAGGTGCGAAATACATTTTAGATGGGACTAGGACTATGAAAAATACAGACTGTAGAAATGGGTTTTAAGGCCCGTTTTAAAAGTTCAGCGTAATGGAGCGGCACTCAGATGGTCAGGGAGAGCATTCCATAGGCAAGGGGCACAGACGGCTTGGTCCTACATGGTTTGGAAACGTGTCCTGGGGACTTGAAACAGTAGGGAGAGTGCGAGGTGGCTCGCTGATTGAGATGAGGTCACTGATGTAGGTGGGGCTCAATCCATTCAAGGCTTTAAATACAAGCATGAGGATTTTTAAGTTGATCCTGTAGTGATCAGCAGCCAGTTGAGTTGGGCTAGGGTCGGGGTGATGTGGTCTGACTTATTGGTCCTGGTCAGGACCCTGGCAGCACTGTTCTGGATTAGATTATGTTTTACATATTTGTTTAATGTGAGCATCGAAGGATAGAGAAGGAGCAAACTTGACTCCTAGGTTGGAGATGACATAGGACAGGTGGATGACCTGGCCGTTGATGGTAGGGCAGATGTTTCTAGCACTGGTGACCTGCTTGGGTGTCCCAATAAGCATAGCCTCAGCCTTCCTACTATTAGCTCTTTCATTCATACCCTGAAGTTATTTAGTCAGCTGCTGAGTTTTTGCTAGGGCAGAGATGGTGTCCGGTTTGTTGTTAATGTAAACCTGGGTATCGTCAGAGTAGCAGTGGAAATTGATGTTATAATCTCTGAGGATTTGGCAGAGAGGGAGCATGTAAATTAAAAACAGGATAGGCCCTAGCACTGACCCATGTGGGATGCCGCATGTGACTGCAGACTCCTCTGATCTGGACTCTGCATAGTGATATATTGCTGCCTATTGGAGAGGTAGGAGGAGAACCAGATCAGAGCAGTTCCAGATACAGCAGTGTTCTCTCTGAGACGCCGCAGGAGATCCTGAATCAGCAGCCATCAGTAGGTTGTTGGTAACTTTAACCAGTTGTTTCAGTGCTGTGCAAGCTTATACATTACAACCAGTAGATAGCGCTGACATCATCCATGTATTCCTATGGAAAACTCCAGATGCCGCATGAAGCATTTTAATTTGAAGCGCACCATATTGCTGAATGGATCTGAATGGCACCAAAAAAAAAATAATCACTAAGAATCAGGTGAAAGTGGCCGTAACTAGCAAAGGATCATGCTAAATGTAGCCGTTTTCATCCTGCCTGAGAGAGTCAACTATGGAGCCTCCTCGTAGCCTGCCGGCCCGTGATTGGTCTGTCAGCACGTGGTCCTTTGTGACGACAAATGTATTCATCAGAATGGATCACTATTTAATCAAATATCTCGATTTGTAGTGAACTTAATAATAATTTACCGTGGTGATCAAACTTTATCATAATAAAATAATTTTAGAGCCCAAAATGTTGTCTTTGTTGTTGCTTGGCCGTTCGGGCAATTGTAATTTATATAGGCTTTCTAGGGCAGACCAGGGCTTTTTGCACCACTAGGTTGCTACGCAGTAGCCGACCAGCAGGGCTTGTGACTTCATGCTCCAGACCGGACACTTGCTGCAAGGGCTGGAAGCCAGACTGGAAAACCTTGTACAACTGATTAGACGACAGATACGATTGAAGCTGGTTTGCAACCACTTTCTCCAGTACTTTTGATAGGGAGGGGAGGTTGGAGATGGGCCTGTATTTGGATAGGATGTCATCAAAAAAATCCCTTCTTGCAAACCAAACAGCCAATAATATAGGCCTACACATAGGCTACTGTCAATAAAAGTGCACCTGACAGGTGTGGCATGTCAAGAAGCTGATTAAACCGCATGATCATTACACAGGTGCATCTTGTGCTAGGGACAATAAAAGGCCACTCTAAAATGTGCAGTTTTGTCTCAACACAATGCCACAGATGTCTCAAGTTTTGAGGGAGCGTGCAATTGGCATGCTAACTGCAGGAATGTCCACCAGAGCTGTTGCCAGAGAATTGAATGTTCATTTCTCTACCATAAGTCCAACTGGCCTGACAACCGCAGACCGAGTGCCCCATGGTGGCAGTGGGGTTATGGTATGGGTAGGCATATGCTACGGACAATGAACATTTTAATCGATGGCAATTTGAATGCACAGAGATACCGCGACGAGATCCTGAGGCCCATTGTAGTGCCATTCATCTGCTGCCATCACCTCATGTTTCAGCATGATAATGCACGGCCCCATGTCGCAAGGATCTGTACACAATTCCTGGAAACTGAAAATGTCCCAGTTCTTCCATGGACTGCATACTCACCAGACATGTCACCCATTGAGCATGTTTGGGATGCTCTAGATCGACGTGTACGACAGCATGTTCCAGTTCCCTCCAATATCTAGCAACTTCGCACAGCCATTGATGAGGAGTGGGACAACATTCCACAGGCCACAATCAACAGCCTGATCAACTCTGAAGGAGATGTGTTGCGCTGCATGAGGCAAATGGTGGTCACACCAGATACTGACTGGTTTTCTGATCCACGCCCCTACCTTTTTTTAAAGGTATCTGTGACCAACAGATGCATATCTGTATTCACAGTCATGTGAAATCCATAGATTAGGGTCTAATGAATTCATTTCAATCGACTGATTTCCTTATATGAACTGTAACTCAGTAAAATCTTTTAAATTGTTGCATGTTGCATTTCTATTTAGTGTAGTTTGATTAATCAGGCTGTATACACAATTAATTGGTATACAGCTTGAAACTAATGCCTGCAAAATTGTGTAAATGTTTCTTACAAGCCAGAATGTTGAATACAATTACATTTAAACTTACTCTACCGATTGTCTGTGCAGTTTGTCCTTCAGCTGCTCAAGATTTGAGACAAAATATCCACCGGAAGCTATTGTTTACCCAACTTTTTAGAGAGCCAGCAGGGGTCTCATTAACGCAGAATTCTGAGTTTTTCACGCAGGAAAAAATTATAAAGCATAAGCTGAATTTTGTTAACGCAGATCTGAAATGATTCTTATTGTCATTTCTGCTCAGCTTCAGACTAATTTTGTGCTGCAGTTGCACTTCACTCGGATGAGAAATATTTGCTCGCTTCATCAGACCAATCACATTTCCCACATTCATGAACATGCATTCTATCAGCAGACAGCACTCTGATGTGTAGCTACTTTTCTCCTGTACTATTTTCTGGTAAAAGATTAACTTCAAGCAAAACATTCAAAAATGTAGCTGGCTACATTCTTTCTATGATAAACATAAGAAATATGATGGCCATGCATAGCTTCTGCAAAAAATACCTTTGCTTTTTCATTGTAAGCTCATTTACTTGTGTGGCTGCTTGCCAAAATAGTGTTGTACTTCTGTTGTCATCTGATGAAAATGATGCTATTTTCTGCCGAATGTGTTGAACTAATGTATTTTGTATGAAGGAAAACTATAGTTGCACGCCTCTGATCACTCTATTGAAGCAAGAAAAACACTGTTGACTTTCAATATAAAGTGCTGGTGAAATGGTTTAAATGCAGATTTTTTGATCGTCTGAGTTTTGAAAATGCAGATTTCTGAAAGCTAATGTGATGCCTGGCCATTAGGTTGGTACCAAGTTAAAATTAATTTTTTATGGGATATACATTTTTCTCTCGTAAGTAGCTATTGAACCAAGCATGCCATGAAAACAAAATAATATATTCTGAACCTGGGGTATGGAGGACTAAAAGTGCCACAATTAAATAAATAAATACACCATTAAATAATTACTTAAATGTGTCATTAATTAATTCAAATTAGAATTAAATACATAAATGTGTAATTAAATGTATCATTAATTAATTCAAATACCGATTCATTTTATGTAAAATACATATATAATTATTTCACTATTTACATTTACATTTCATGATCCTGCATTGCAGTGATTCATGAATTACTTAAAACTGTCAAACTGACCCATCAAAGTCAGTGGGCGGGGCTAACGCGAATCTAGTCTGATCCATTGCTTTGGTCTGAAGTAGAGTAGGCCAACCTGGATAGAGACAATGGAGGATCTCCGTGAACTTTCCAGGGAGTTGGTTAGAGACATTTTAAACTTAGCAGAGGATGTAGAAGCAGGACCTGCTGACATTATCTGGAATTGATTTGTCTTGGCTTGATGCAGAGGGTAACCAATCAGGCGTTAGGTTCCGCCTACCAACTTTTGATGGGTCAGTTTGACAGTTTTAAGTAATTCAGGAAGCACTCCAACGCAGGACCATGAAATGTAAATGTAAATAGTGAAATTATTATATATGTATTTTACATAAAATGAATCGGTATTTGAATTAATTAATGACACATTTAATAACACATTTATGTATTTAATTCTAATTTGAATTAATTAATGACACATTTAAGTAATTATTTAATGGTGTATTTATTTATTTAATTGTGGCACTTTTAGTCCTCCATACTGGGGAGGATGGAGAACAATCACCCTTTTTTTGTTGTTAACTGAAATCCAAATAAAAAAATGTTAATGAAAAACTCTCAAAAAAACGTGACGATTGTTCTTCATCCTCCCCTGATTCAGAAATTACAATTTTCAAAGGCAGAGTTCGTTTTGCATGGCCGGGTGCCTCAGGTGGGTGAAGATTTCACTTAAAGCAATCCACCCAAAACCCCTCATTCCTTTAATTTACAGTGTTAAATAACACTAATATGTGAGAATAATATTTTTTTGTGAACAAATGTTTCATTTTGGCATTATAATAAGGTTGGTAGCAACATGGAAAATCTGTCGAAATCTGCTGCAGCTCAAGTCGACTACAAAATCCACAATCCAATGCTCTCTATGGGCTGGCTGGCAAGCTAGCTAGGTAGCTAGCAAATGTAGCTACATACAATAATACCAAAGACAATATCAGCATTTAGAGTAGCTAGTTAGCTGTAAAATCGCCTAAAAAAAACTGCATTATCAATTTAGGTGTCTACAATCTCACCATGTTCAACCTGCAGCTCGATGTGCTTCACAGAGTGGAGTCTATCATTCGCAACGGCAGATATACCACGCTACGTCAATGGGCCGCGCTGTACATTCTGGGGGATTCTGGGACAAGGAGCGCTCTCCATCAAGGAGTGAATGGGAGTCTACTGGGCGCTAGCTCAAAAACCCAACATTAACCCACATTTTGTCGACAAGAAGTACAACATTACAAATCTTTTCCGAGATAATTAACTTAGGAATCGTGACATTACGTACTTCAGAGGAAAATAGGCACGTTTCTCGACATATACACTGACTTTGAGAAGGGATTGTGTGACAGTTAGTTTAGCAACCTCGTGACGCAGCACGACAACGTGAACACGATTGGTTGACAGTCTGCTGGTGGGGCATTATACGTTCCTTCATTCCCTCATTTCTATAATATCTCTGGCAACGGCACCATGCAATGCACCCTGGACTAAAGAGGCAGACAAATAGGAAAAATCTTATAGACCCTCCATTAATAAAACATTTCCCAAGGTAGGAATATCGCAAAAATATGATCAATGGCTCATTCGAGAAGATCGGCCAGTATTGAAATCTGACATGCATGATAGACGTTTTCACAATCTACAAGTCGTATTCCTATTAACTTCTAGTGTAGTGAGAGCAACTTTATCATAGTGCTACGCCATACCGGACGGATTTCTGACTGCTTTAACACCAATAACTCAGATACACATGCAAACATGAAATTACACAGGGAATCGATAGAACATCACTCAGAGATGCACAAAAACAATATACATTTAAAATGGGTGAACCTTTCCTTTAACGACCAGTGGAATGGTCTAAAATGATCAAAATCCGCCCACCCATGACACAGGGCCATACAAAATATACTCATCCAATGTCATGGCATGCTTGGTTCAATTGCTATTGACGAGAGAAAACTGAATATCCAATTTAAAACTCACTTTAACGTTATATCGGTGCCGAACCATATACCTAACTTACCGGCTCTCTAAAAAGTCAGGTAAACAATACTATTTTGTCTCAAATTTCGAGTACCTGAAGGACAAACCGCACAGACAACCGGTAGTGTAAGTTTAAATGTAATTTTATTCAACATTCTGGCTTGTAAGAAAAATGTACACGATTTTGCAAGCATCAGTTTCAGGCTGTATATACCAATTAATTGTGTATTATTTACAGCCTGATAAGACTAACACGCTAACGTTACTAGCACGGTATTGTTAGCTAGTTGTTAACGTTAGCTAAATCATTTCGCCAACAACACATTAAATAAATACTGCAGTGAAATTCCCCTTTAGATAACTGGATGTATAGCTAGCTAAGTAACGTTACTGTTTTGGGCGACTGCAAGTAAAGATGAAAGGGGTAGGTAATGTTGCTAGCTAACGTTAGCTAGCTAGCTAGTTAGCTAAGTGTCATTAGCATAACAAGCTACCTGGACAGTGAGGAAGCCCAAGTAAACGTGAGACATTTCAGGCTTTACATAATGAAATAATTGACATGGCCGTAAACTGCTTTGCAAACTGTCTTGATAAAAATAATAATTAGCTAGGCAATGTTATCGTAGACGACTCTTACCTTTGACTGAGGAAGCGAGCGCCATGATGACTTCTGAAACGGGAGAGGCTATACCAGAGAGGAAGAGGCGAAGAGAGAGGGTTTACTCCTCCCAAAATCTGTCCACGTTAAGCAACTCATTAATTATTAAGCAATTTAGGTGTTTTTTGGGGGGGCAATGAGTGTCGAATTTAGTGGAGATAAAAATGAATTTATATTTTGATCTAATAGAAGTTGTAATGCTTAGGTTGTTATGAGTGTAGTGATAAGTGTGATGCACGTGACATCCTGTTGATTAAGGGCTTGTAAGTAAGCATTTCACCGTAAGGTCTACGCCTGTTGTATTCGGCGCATGTGACAAATAACATTTGATTTGTCCCTGGTGAAATTCGAGACGGCCTATTCATATTCATGAGGCTAGGATAGCATCTCACTCTCCGTTGAATACAGGCTGTTGACGTCAACACCCAACCATCGAATATTCCAAAAGTATTCAAATAACGAGATGTACCCACCAATCCAAAGAGAGGATAGGAAGCCGCTGTTCCGCGCTGTGGACAACGAATGCCATTGTTAGGGCGGAGACATAGGCATCTCGTCATTATATCCAGTATCTGTGGCTATACGCCATAGAGTCTTATGCCGCGTCCACGTACTAGTCGGAACTAGGAAACTCGGACATTTCTGACTTGATAACTGGTTGAACGCGGCATGTGAATAGCTACAACCAGTTAGCAAGTCGAACATTTGACTTTCCTAGTTCCGACTAGCACGTGAACGCGGCAATAGACATTACCCTATTTGCTGACGTATGTCGCACAGCTGAGAGTCGAGTGGTGACGATTCCGTAAGCTCAATGGCCCTTCCCAGCATGCTAGTTTATGCTGGCTAGCTGGCGACAACTGGGTACCAGTCTGTTTAACTAACATCTGAATGTAACCGTGACTTGCCCAGTGCAACGATGTTGCATCGAGGTGCTTGCTGGCCTCTTCATTCTGGTGACAGGTCTCTCAAGATCGACCAGAGCCTGTCATTTCCAATGGGAGCAAATTAATCATAGTGGGCAGAACCAAGTTACGAGCTAGTGAGATCCTATTGGTGCGTTGTAGCATTATTTGCATATTTCCGTTAGGGAACGCCTACCCGGTGAAGTGCGCCTGTGGTGAAGTGCGCCTGTGCAATAACTAAATTCGCCATTGCGCTCCTAAACAAAGCAATTGTTCAAAACTTTGGCAAAGGGTAAAGTCTACGAAACACAGTCCACTCTGTTTGTTACATATTCTCGTTTTGGAAACAGAAAAATGTATGGAGATCAAATATTTAATCGATGAGAAAATTTGCTGAATGTCAGGCCAAAATCGGTGTCACTCCATCTTCTCCCACTGCCAGTCACTTGGCTTCCTCATTATCATATTTGGTAGTGAGTGGAAAAGGCAACCGGATGCTTCACATTTATACATCCGGTGAAATATCTGGCTCATTGTTCGATCTGTGGGTCTCCCGGAGCGAAGCAATAGGGTAGGGCAAAGAGGCTAGTGCGTGCAGAAGTGAGTTGCTTCCTACCTTGCAGCTGTATTACATGTCGCTGTCGGTAGCTAAAGCGGACAATTTGTTCCATCCCACTTGGTTTTATTTAGAGTAGGATAACAGCCTACACAAGAAATAACTTGTAATATTGGTATTTGGTACTAGTAACCATCTGGATGTCACCACGATAGGCCTACAGTCTCTACTGCTCGATATGGAGAGTTTGCGCTGCAAGCCGGTAACCCAACAGCATGGGCACAGTGACCTAGCTGCCGCTTGCCGCAGTAATGAGAGGGAAGTAGCTTGATAGTGTAGCAGCCAATATCAGGCCAGGGTGACAGCTAAACTAGCTAGCTGGGAAGGGCTCATCAGGACCACTGACTGAACCAAATCTGTTTTTTCTCCACTTTCGCTGAGCAACATACGTCATCAATTTGGGCACCAGGTAAGTATTTATTGATGCCGTGTTCAAAACAACTAGGAACTCGGAACTGTGAACTCGGAAATCTCCAACTTCCGACTTCAGTACATTCAAAACACCTGGGAACTCTGGAAAAAAAACGAGCTCTGATTGGGAAAATCCTATTTGAAGGGTCATCCTGTAATATTCATATGTGTCAGCATACTGAATTGTAATTGGATGCATTCTACTGTCATATCATACTGTGCTATGATTGGTTAAGACCACCCAGGTGGTAAGGTAATTCTCAAGATGATCATGGCTGGAGACACATGAACATGCCAGTTATAGCTAGTTAATAAAGAGCTACGTTTATAAATATCCTGTCGTCCTGCATTTTATTATTTTGTACAAAGCATACAAAACAAGACATGGTGTCAGAGTAAAAGGACTACAAGATGGATTTTGCTGGAGTTCCTTCACCTCGAATGGATTGGGGGTCTACAAATCTACCCGATGCATGGCGTAAGTTCAAACAGCATGTGGAGCTAATGTTCACGGGTCCTCTGAAGGAAAGAGGAGAAGAGGAAAAGTGCAGCTACATGCTCCTCTGGATCGGTGGAAAAAGGGAGAGACATTTACAACACATGGACACTTACCGAGGCTGAATCAAAGGTACTGAAAACATATTACGATCGTTTTGAAGCATATGTTGTGCCAAAGACCAATACAAATTTCGCTAGGTACAAATTCCATGAGAAAGTACAAGGAGCTAGCGAATCGTTTGAACAGTTTGTCACTGAGCTGTGTCTGCTTGTGAAAACGGTGATTATGCAAACAAGGATGAGATGGTCAGGGACCGTATTGTATTTGGAATACACTCACCGCGAGTGAGAGAGAAACTTTTGAATGTTGGATCAGAGCTAATGCTGGAAAAAGCTATCGACATAGCCAGATCTCACGAGCTAGCACAGGTTCAGATGAAAACCATTTCAGGCGGCAGCACGAGCGCATCACGTGAACAAGCAGTGCGCGCAGTCAGGCAGACATCAAAGCACACCGCCGGTGCCCAGAGAGCATGTTTCAGAACGGAGACGGACAGAACCAAAACAGAGCGACACAGACTCCAAACGCCCCAAAACATGTGGATATTGTGGATACAAAGTGCATGGCGAACAGGGGAATTGCCCAGCTAAAGGCAAACAGTGTACTAAATGTGGAAAATGGAATCACTTTGCAAAAGTGTGCAGAGCTTACCGTGGAAAAACAGTACATACAGTGAGTGAAGATGAAATGTCAATCAAAGAGTCAACTGTTTATTGATTCAGTGACACAGAAAAGTCCGATATCAGAGACAGAGCAAGCCTTTGCTGACATTGAGATAGGAAGACAAGGCACAGAGCTAAAATTCAAACTAGACACTGGTGCACAAGTAAACATTATTCCTCTGAATAAGTACAGAAGCTTGACATCTGAGTGTGAGCTACAGCCCACCACACGCAGACTGACTGGTTATGGTGGTGAACAGCTCCCAGTAAAAGGCACATGCACTTTCAAATGCAAATACAAGGGAAGGGACATGATGTTGGACTTTTACGTTGTTGACACTCGAGCACCTGCAGTGCTAGGTCTTAAAGCATGTTTAGACATGGACCTTATCAAGCTAGTTTTATCAGTGACAGCACCAGTAGAGATAGAGAATGTCATGGAGGAGTTTGCTGATGTTTTTACAGGAATAGGACTATTCCCAGGAGAATGTACCATTCACCTTGACCCAGACGCAACCCCTGTGGTCTACCCACCGAGAAAGATTCCACTTGCTCTCCGCGCCCGTCTGCAGAAAGAGTTGGAGAGCATGGAGCAATCTGACATTGTCACCAAGGTTACAGAACCGACGGATTGGGTCAACGCGTTAGTGGTGGTGGAGAAACCACGCACAGGCAAGCTCAGAGTATGTCTCGACCCAAGAGACTTGAACAAGGCTATCAAACGCCCCCATTACCCCTTACCGACGCAAGATGGCATCACACACAAGCTAGCAGGCGCACTCTACTTCAGTGTCATGGACACCAGATCAGGCTACTGGGCTATCAAGCTCACAGAAGAGTCATCTAAGCTCACAACGTTCAACACACCGTTTGGACGCTACAGGTTCCGTCGCCTGCCTTTTGGGATTATCTCAGCCCAAGACTAGTTTCAGTGAAAGATCGACGAGGTGTAAGAAAGGCCTCGACGGAGTCGTGGCAATTGTGGACAACATCCTTGTCTATGGTCGAACCAAAGAGGAACACGACAGAAACCTCAGCGCGATGCTGCAAAGGTCCCGCGAGAGAGGAGTCCGGCTCAACCCCGAGAAGAGCGGTCAGCTACATCTTCTCACAGCGAATGGAATCAAGCCAGATCCGCAGAAGATCTCAGCCATAAAGGAAATGGAGCCACCAAAGAACAGTGCAGAGCAGGAAACAGTGCTTGGCATGGTCAACTACTTAGCCAAGTTCGCACCCAGCCTCTCCAATGCTAATGCACCCCTGCGTCAGCTGCTAAAGCAGTCCAGTGAGTTCCTCTGGGACAAGCAACACGACATCGCTTTCCAGAAAGTGAAAGACTTGATCACGAGAGAACCAGGACCAATCCTTGCCTACTACGACCCCAACAAAGAGCTCAGACTCCAGGTGGATGCGTCAAAGTATGGACTAGGGGCAGTGCTACTGAAAGAAGGAAAACCCATCGACTACGCTTCCAAATCTCTCACAGACTGTGAAATCAACTACGCTCAAATCGAAAAGGAGCTGTACGCCATTCTGTTTGGATGTAAGCGTTTCCATCAGTATGTCTATGGATGACAAGTCATTGTGGAATCAGACCACAAGCCCCTCGAGTCAATCATGAGGAAACCGTTAGCCGCAGCCCCGCCAAGGCTACAGAGAATGATCCTTCAACTACAGAAATACGACTTCACAATCACTCACCGTCCAGGCAAAGACATCCCTGTCGCAGACACACTCTCCAGGAAATGTCTTACCTACAGTGAAGGCATGGACATGCAGGTGCACACTGTGTACAGCAACTTACCAGTTAGTGACACAAAACTGAAGGAGATCCGAGCAGAAACAGAAAAA